ACAGGAGCGGAACGGGGGAAGGGAGGAGTCCGGGGGGGGGGAGCGGGGAAGCGGAAGGAGTGGAGGAATCGCACGCGCGGCTTTCGTCCACGTGCAGCAAATTAGTCGATCTCGATTATTCCAAGATGAGCTATCTTGACGACAAGATGAAATTCTCCAAGAGATATCTCCGGCAGAGGATAGGGTATATTGTAGTGACACTCGACATCGATATGTTTTTTTTCTTTTCTTCCTCTCGAATATCGATATTATATATTTTTCTCTCTTCCTCTTTTGCTGTTTTGATATTGCAATTTTGACGTGATCGACGCCCCACGTAAAGACTCATCAATCTTCGATTTTTTGCGAAATCAAATTCTTTTCTAAATTGTTTTCCTGCAAACCTCTTCAATAGTTTTAAATATGATTATTCTAGGTATTTTACATAATGCTTGATTCGAGATAAATCGCTCGATTTCGCGAACGAAGACAGAAATGCTTCTAGAATTGCAATTTTATTTCGATAATATCGATACTCTGGTATTAATGTAAGGACTTATTATTTTTCGTATGTCATGATGTCTAATTATGATTGCACTTTTATTGCAGGTCTGGCCCGTGTGAATTGCAAGACCCGTTGTGGGTCAAAATGAGTGCGATTACTGGTGGCATTACCAAGAAAAGAAAGAAATCAGATGCGAAGCCTCAGTCGCAGATGTAAGTATCAATCTCCTGTCTTTTGTTTCTTCTCGGCGGTATCAGCTCAGATCCGCACTCTGTGAACAGTACAATGAGTGATAAATGCCTATCATGCCACATACTCGATTCAAATACAGCTATTGGTGAAAAACATGATTCTACATTAGCATTCTTTAATTCAATTCTTTAGAAATATTTTAAAAAATGCTTAAAAAGAAGACAAAAGAATTAAGCTTCAAATTAAATACAAACAACAAAAATATCTAATATCAAAATTTTTTTTATATTTTTGAATTATTTATTTATTAAATTATTTTTTTTTTTCATTAATAAGATGCTAAATCTTTTCTCTATTGTTGTAAAAATTATGAGAATTTATTTTAATATAATTGAAATAAATTTTTTTTAATAAAATTACTGTTATTGATAATTTATAGGAATATTATAAAATAATATAGAAATAATATAGAAATAGAAAGCAAAAGGGAAGCGAAGCAAGGCGAGAAAAAACTGCTTGACAGGTTTGGAAAACTTAAATTTGACGAAGTAGAGAGAGAAAGAAACGTAACAACTCCGGATTTAAATCCGGATTAATTATCCTGTATCAATTTTTTGTTAAATTTTTATTAAGAGGTAGATTGTCCGAAATATTAAATGAAGCGTATAATTTGGAAGTTCGATAATCTGTGATTTAAAGTTTTTAGCGACATGTACTCACCGGCGAACACATAACCCGTTGCCATCTAATTTGGTAAAGAGATTATCATACCGATCGATTTATTAATGTAATAAACGTATAAACTCACGAGTTTCTCAGCGTTTGTTACTGAACAGGCTTTAATGTCAAAGTAATATTTAATCAATATTGCCATGAAATTTTATTAAATTATACAAATTATATCATTATTTATGTTCATTCACGAGAGAAAGAATATAAATATTATTTCTATAAAGCTATATCATATTATTGTTATAATAAACTAATGTATAATTCATTTTAGTATTGAAAACAAATATTGTCAGTGATTATCTCTTTACGTTGGTAAAAATTTATAAAAATTGATTAAAATTTTGATTACAAAACATTTGTATAAAGTAGAGTATTCTTAAATATTCTAGTCTTACTTTTTGACATGGTTATCATGTAAAAAAAAAAAGTAACAAAAATTATTAATAATAAGTTCAATATATTTACATCCTATTTCAGTTTAAAAATTAGAAAAATATGAAATTAGGAAATTACAGAAAAAAGTCACTTTTCTAGACAATATATTACTTAGAACAATTTGAAAAAAATAGTGAAAAACCGTTGTATAATAAACACTCCGTTTTACGAATTTCATTATACTGATAGAATTTTCCTAAAAAAATTTAGAGTCCTTCAAAAAATATTATACTTTATGGTGTCGCGTAAATAACATTAATATAAAGACGAGTCTTTCGTATTTGCAACGTGGTGAATTGAATAGAAATTCACGCAGAAGTTATATCGCTTTCACTCTCGGTTTTAACTTTACAGTTGATTTTGTTCGTTTTGTCACGAGCACGTAGCAAGATAGCAACTGGAAAGACGGTATTAAAATAGCAGAGTGGCATTATAGAGCAAAGTGAGAGTCACTGCTGGACCGACGCGACGTCACGCAAGGTCAACTGAACGTTTCAGTGGGACAAAAGAATTGGTTCAACATTTAAAGAAGAAAATTGTCTTCCTTTTTAAAGTTGCAAAATCTTTTTGTAAACTTTTTTTTATCATATATTATCATTTATCATTTATCATTTATCATTTATTATTATTTATTAATGTTTCTCGGTATTTTGTCACATATGTATAGCATGACAGAATTTTTGGATCTGCAATTTTAATAATGGGTCGTTTGACTAATTTAGAATTAATGTCCTTTCTAGTCAAACGCGAATCGCAGCTAATTAACAAAATTTCTTGAGAATGATTTGAATTTCGAGCCACGTTTTTACTGAAATTTAATCAAAAGTTTAGACACCAAAACATATCCAGAATTTAAAAGACAATGATCATCCTTGATGTTTTTTCCGAGAAATCAACTCGAAATTAGTCAAGGAATCTGTTATTAAAACTGTACAGAAGTGTGAAATTCAAGTATGGCAAACTGTGTCAGAACGAATTTACGAGTCGATTACGCAGAAGAACTTGATACTTTTCTTATCACGAACGAGGATGTTCTTCGATGTGATAAAACTGGAGAAAATCACGTTCGTAATAATAATAGCGATACATTTGGACGTTTATTATTTTTACTATAAGTAATTAATGTTGATTATAAAAAACTTGCAATTTAGTAGAGTAATAACAATAATAAAAAAAATAATGGGATTAATAACATTTTATTTATTTTTTGAGGATAAACATTTTAAATAAGACATATATAACATTTAGCTGACACTTTTACATTATTATTTAAAACACTACATTATTTACATTATTATTTAAAAATATAACTAAATTATTGTGTAAATATCAAATTTTTCATTTATCGATTACATACTTTAGAAAATAAATATTTCGACACTTTTGTCGACACGTAATGATAAATTTTTTTTATTTACTTTTATTTCTGATCTAGTAACTTAATTATTTCGATATAATTCCGATAATTGTCAGTAATTTTGTCATGTTAAAAGAAACGTTTATTAAACATGATATGATGGATGTTACATCTCTTAAAAATAGATGTAAAGTGCAATTTTAGAATAAAATTCACATTAATTCTACATTTCGATTGTTCACAGTAATAAGTGCCTTAACGAAAAAAGACGACGGACCCAAGAGAACTTGTATATCGATGAGCTTGCCGAGCTGATTTCCGCCACGGACATGAGCTCTGGCAAGACTGACAAATGCCAGATCCTTCAGAGAACCGTCGATCAGGTAAGAGGACAGATTTATCTTTTCTCCCTTACGAATATGATTGGTAACAGTGTCGAATGAGTAATACTGTATATTCGATATCTATCGTTAGTATCGTTTTTTTTTCTCCTTGAAAATGAGGAAATGAGATGTTGTTTCATTTGATTGACAAGATTAGAAGATCAGGAGTATAGAGTTACGTTGATTACAATATTTAAACACCTAAGCAAACATCCAAAGATAGATACTTTAGAAGATCTACAGTAGAACTTCACGACGATTATCACTGTAACAATTTATAAGAAGTTATTGTTTCGTGTTATATCAATATAATTTTTAATTAACCTTTTTTGAAGTAATTGCAAATAATGACATTTTTATGACGATAAAAATTTTCTCTGTTTTAACATCATTAACAACACGTCGAAGGGGATTTAAATTTCTAAGATTAACCCATTAGTGAAACGGGATGAAATGCTATTTAAAAACACTCACGTTTTCCTCGCGAAATTATATACATTTTTATCGTTCCCTCGCTCCATAAAATTGAAGATAACTGCTCGATGTTAAGACAAAATGGCGATTTTATGATCGTCAAAGGACACTTTGCGAAATCTTACTTGGAGTCGAATAATAAAGTTTTTTTTAGGTTAGCAATATTATTTTCATAGTTCTTCATTATTTGTCCCACGCGTACGCGTTTTATTTTCTTGTACGCCCAACTGGGAAGACATGAGGTCATTTCGTAAAATGGTAGATAAAGGACATTAGATAATAGACAGAAGGCGGGTCTGAAGATATCTCATCTTCTATCAGCGGTTTTCGTCGGGAAATCGATTGCCGGATAAATATTGATCAGCGTTGTTTTCGGATCGTGAGAACGTATCCATCGCGAGTACGATGAAATATTTGGGAAAGCACTCAGGATTATTGAGAGATTTGTGGAGCGAGCGGATCTTTCACAAAGGTCGCCCTGTTTTATAGATGGCATATATTCCGAGATCGATCTAAATGAAAGAAAGAGCGACAGCATTTTCGAAAGTGATATTACATCGTCATCGTTAGCTTTATGAGGATTTCGCGTAATACTAAAAAAACTCGTTCTTGACAAGTTCTGCCGCTTCGACGCTCTCTAGTAACCGATCTTTCTTTGCGTTACGAAATATCTAGTATGGCGAATCTTCACATTTATAATTAAATTCGTTAATTATAGTACATTATAGTTTAATTTATATAACTTCTTCAGATACGGCTTCTTCAGAAATGCAGTATTTATTTATCTATAACTCTCTATGCATGTAAGTAACGCTTGAATCACAATTTATTAAAAATTTAATAATGTATTAATAATGTTAAATTAATTTTATATTCTTTTTATTTTATAAAAAAATTATGATCGCTGCTTTGAAGAGATATATTGACTTATTTTTGCTTCTCGCAGGCTTTTAATCTCGATGCTAAATAGCTTGGTAATTAAATGTTTTCTAAAGAAATGCCGTCAGACAATTAGTATAGAGATTCCTGTTTCTGTTTAAAACTTGTCGTCTGGTTGCTACCGTTTAATTTTCAACGGTTTATAACTCGGTAATTACGTCCCAGTTGAAATTTTCCCTTAAGAGAGATTCGTATCAATGCAGCGGTACGAAACCTTATTTTATGAAGTACGCATCGTATTTAGAAATTTATTTGAAAAATTCTCTCGTAATGCGAAATTAATTAAATAATATGCATTTATTATACGCATTTATTATAATTTTTATAATGCAACATTTATTGTCCGAGTGATAAAAAACTTGAATTGTGCTGATTCATCCACTTTTATAGATAGCAAATTAATGAGATCTTTTTTTCATAACTTTTTAATTTGCAGCATTTAGTATCTTGTTAATCAAATTGCGAATTAAAACTTTTGAATCGAAATCTCATCGAAGACTAACGAAGAATAAGTAAGAGCAGATAATTTTGTTTCTCCATTTTACAAAGGTTACTTTCCGTGGGAAGCCGTTTATTTTTAATCGCTAATTCAGAAACCATTTTCTGCTTCGACGGTCTTTTTACGGGAAAAATTAACTCTGAATAGATCCTGGCTAAAGTTTGCGGCAACTCGCGAGTTTCTCTATTGACACACAGCGCATGTTATTATTACAGTAGCATCGCACAGCGTAAATATAATTCCATCGGCATCGTTCGCGAAAATAACACAGTCTTTCCTTTTCGGGTGTTGTTTGAAGCAACCGATATGTTTAAGCAACAATACCGAGAGAGAGAGATCTCAGGTAGGATCGATAAACTCGGTCGATCTCGGATTTTCGGGTAACCCTTTCTGTCTTGATCTTCTTTTTTTATAAAACCCGATCCGCCTCTCGATCGTCCAATCGCTGTCCGACTTTGGATAAAAACTCGTATATAATGTTGCGTGTATAACGCGGAAATTCGCGTCTCGCGTTTATTAACGGTGACGAGAAGATATTGGAATTTTCTCTGATCTCATGCATTACCGATTCCGTTCGCATTCCACGGGCAATGAGTCTACGAGTCTACGAGTGACGATCTCATCTCGTGTATAACCTACATTGTACGCATTATTATATAGAGGCTTGTTACGGTTCTTGTTGCGTATGCGATGAATTTCGAAGTTACACATTAAACTTTGTACGTGTAATTAAATACACATTTTATGAAATGCACACACTTTTTCCATCCGAGGGTCATTAGTTTGACTGAATTGTGCAAAAGCGAGCTAATCGTATTAAAGGAATAAGATTCTTTTTATTTCATTTTTTTTTTAATTGATATATGCAACCATCGGCGGGATGAAACTTTGCATTTCAAATCTAATTCACTCGAGTCGAGCACTCTTGTAGAGAGTTAACTCGCTTTTGCATAACGCCCCGGCTGCTTTTCGAGATCCATTTTATCTTGGCGGAAATTTGGTTTGATTTCCAGCCTGTTATTATCTCTAATAATCGCGTCGTTTATTCCGCTCGAAAAAGGTCGAAGACGCAATTACGGGTGTATTTCTTTCTAAACCGATATGCGATTAATTCGCTAACGATATACACAGATAATTACAGGTCCCGGGCCCCTTTGTTAAGCCGTGCTCTCGCGTCATTGGCTAAACAGGCGAAGTAGCAGTTGCATAACGGCCACTAAGGTTAAGCCCTTGACTCACTGGCGATAGCCAGTCAGCGGAGTCTTGCTTCCCATTAATACCTCGCGCTCGAATTTTTCTGAAGATCCTATAACAGAGTCTGGCCACGAGCGATTTTGTCCAAATCTTACGAGAAAGAAAAATAAATAAACTGTTACCTTCTATTACTATTACACTATTCTCTCTAGAATTTATGGTCTCTAGGATTCAAATTAGAACTTGATAATATGTCGTAACTGTGTCCAATAGCTAGCGAGGATCCGTTCTTTAATCCGAAACTTCCGTTCCAGCATCCGAATTTTCCAATAGGAATCGGCGATTATGGAAAGATAAATCGACTTTTGAATCGACTTAAAGATAATTATTCTTTTTAAAATCGATAATATTTCAATAATATCATTAATAATTGATTAATTTATATCTTTTAATAATACTTTAATACATGAAACTAATAATATTTGAATGATTTTGATTACATTTTGTCCAACTTTATCAGTGATTAATTCAACTGGCACAGGCATTTACAACAAAACTTTTAACTGTTTAATCGTATTTAATTTATCGTACTTTAATCTTTTTCTTCATTTGTTGTCACATTAAATTAACCAATTAAATTTATTCAAAGTTATTCCTACATTGAGATTTTATATTGCGCTTTTTCACAAACACACACACACACACACACACACACACACACACACACACACACACACATACACACAAACAAATATATATATATATTTTTCTAAGTATGAGTGTACACTAATTCAACTAGAAAAAATAGACCAAATGCTTAAGTAACAGATTTCATACGATTATAATCGAATAGAAACTATTGATTTCGGGATAATCGATCGGTTCTATCTTTCGATCTTTCTATCTCCTAGCATCCCAAAATGTAATACCAATATTTAAAATCATACATAGTGACATTTAGTATACATCAGTGCTGACAATTTTTGTATTTAGTATGCATCAACGCGCAATATTTCTCTTTCCTAATAGTGCTCGCTTCGCGAACACGTGTCCTCAGGAGGTGTCGTTACCTCAGGAGATGGAATTGATGGAATTGAGACGGAATAACATCAGGTAATGTAATAAACAGCAAAAATTAAATAAAAACAAACAGTAATAATCTGTTAAGACATTTTAAAAATATTTATTTTTAAGATATTTTTAAAATATCCTAAAATCATTTTTAAAATATTGATGAAAAAATGTTTGATTTTTTATTGAACTTTTTCGGGTTTATCACTTGCTTCGAGAGATAGCGTATTGCGTATATGTTAAAAAAATTAAAAAAATGAAATTTGCAATTAAAAAATATTCCCGTTAAGTATGTGCATCCTTGATGATATTTTAATTATATTTTTATTAAAATGTAATTAAAATATCGTGCATCAAGAGATGTATTGTGATTTTGATATTTATATAACCTTTTTAATGAAAAATTTTTCTTTATTGCAATCTTCAGTAATAATCTCTCATGGGCAAATATAGTTATGTCGAATGAAAAAATCCTATACCGCGATTATCCTATTTTGCGATTTCCGTAATGATTAAAAAATTATTAATTTATATATGTCCGCGAATGAGCGAGCATTTGCATAAAAGGATAGCGCTATGCATGCTCACTATTTCTAGAAATGTGGCAACATGTTTAGAGATATACACTATGAATAATTGTTCATTTGTAAATCATATCTAAATCTCTTGCCACGCGGCTGGCAACTGTAAACATGCGTAATGCTGGGCTATCCCTTCGCTGCTTGCTCATTTGCGGATCTGTATAAATTAATAATTGTTATTTTTAATTATTACGATTTATAATTGTTATTTTTAATTATTGTGAAAATTGAGAAAGAGTACA